AGAATTGAGCCCGATATACTCGCTTCTTAGCTGAATGGCGACACTACTTTAAGCCCTGGTTAGGTTACGGTGGATTTTTTAGGGTGTATCCTCGAATTTCATTTTGGTGCTGCGTGTTTGTTCATCAGTAAATATATTTGCCGCTTTCCAATGTACTGGATTGGCTCATGCTAGTCCGCCAGGACGCTGTTTCCTGTTCTGGCTTGTCCATGAATTATTCCACTCCTGAAAGGCCGCTGTCTTTCCAGCTTCTTTCTGCCTCTCCTTTTCCTTTTCTCCTCCCTAGGTTCTTGTTTATTCGGCGATATCTTTACTCCTGGTCAATGCATGCAGAGTTTCTCTCCCGTTTGCGGACAGCTTTATCCTCGTATATGTCGATCGGATTGTCTCTTGAACTAGGGGTTTAGTTGAAAGTCCGGCGTGCTTAACCCTCCTATGTTTCAGGTATAACTCTAAAGGGGGGGAGGACGATTCCTGCTCTAGCACTCTGCTGCTAGTAGAATTGTAGGCACCTGCAACAAGTTAAAGCATTTCTTTGAATACTTCTGAGGGGTTTCTCTACCCTTTCAGGTGTCTTTTCTGTGAGCCCAGCCTCGGCCCATATGGAGGACCAATACGTGAGGGTCATACTCACTGTCGTGCTGTATAACAGTTTGGACTTTATGAATGTCGCTCCCCAAATTGATTATGCCAATCTACTAATTAATTGCACTTGGATGCACGATATTTGCTGGATATCCTTTGTGGGCCCCCCATTTAAAAATTAAAATGAAAAATCTAGTTGATATTGGAAAAGACTTTTGCTTGCATAAGTCTGGATCCAGACCAAAAGCGAAAGCACGATCTGCTTGCAAGCATGTTTGGCTAGTGATGATATTCAGTGGCCTTTTTGGGGGCAGGAGTAGATATTGTAGTGCTACGATGGACTCTTTTTTGTATTGGTTTTTCATAGCGTATGCAGTTATCTAGCTATGACACAAAATGAAAGAAAAGTAGATGATAGATGACTCAATGTAAAGGAAGAGCACTCAAACCTCATATTTTATTTGTAAGTGACACTACGAAGTTATGGCGACTTTTCCATCATTCCAAGCCAGCCCTTACCCGTGAATACCCACTTGGGGGAACGCCTCATTAACGCTGGGTTATCTAGACATGCCTCCTGTAACGGCTGGTAAGCCGATTGGTTCCTGTAGCGCATGTTGACCAACATGAGCCTAGCCTGATATTGGTAGCGCACGATTGATCGACATTAATGTGTGGATATATGATGCCACTCAACAGAATATCAAGGCATCGGCATCTAGTTCGACAGGGCAGCAGTATTGGACCATACAGCTACAACACATGTGAAGAATCCCATTGGAACCGAGAGGGAGGGACTGTGCCTCAACCACATAGACAATGTATATATAAGTATAGATAGAAACTGAAGTAGTTTTCTCTTCAGAATGATAATTTACATACTATCAACCACATAGTTGCACCAGCGCCTGTTCCTTGTTCCGTGACACCTCCATCATCAGTTAACTTTTTACCTCGCGATATGTGATCTGAGGTGTCTCTTTCTCAAATGGAGTAGGTTTCCAGGCTACTCGAACTATACCAGACAACAACATAAGTAGGTAGACCACGGTACCTTCCATCGTTGACTTTTGTTCACACTATAAGCTGCATTCTCGCAATCGAAGTCTTGGCGCACGCACAAAGCCCATTCGTACAACTCCTAGCTAAAATTCAAAATTCCACGCCCGTCAACATTGTATCCATCTTCCGTGTCATCTTGTAAACTTTTCCTAATCCCTCTTATGTCCATTAGAATGAACTGTCTCCAAGACATTTTCGGCACGTTTTATTTTCTCCGTCGAGTACAAATATCGGCGTGGGGGTGTATTTAGTGTCCAGCTGAGGCCAGATAAAGTCGAAGAGAGGTGTGGTCATTGGCATGAGGATGTACTTGTAAACTTGATGAGGTTCTGTGTAAATCGATCTCGTTGGGTGGGGGAGATTGATTTCGTAGAGAGTCTTGGATCATTGCCTCGTGGGCCAGCATCGAAAGTATTGCGAAATTTGACTAAACTTGGCTCTGGGAGAATATTTAGCTCCCAGGTTCGTAGAGGTAACTGCGCACAGGTGTTCAGTTTTGCCCTCCACATCCTTCCTTTCTCGGTTAGATAAGGACATATGCTGGAACATCCACTAGTGTGCAGAACCCCCTTATTCATGTATTTAGAAGAAAGCCCTGTCACGTAGATAACTTAAGCAATTAATGTTAGAATTTAGAATGATTGGGGCTATCAAGTAGGCCACGTTGTTGATACACACGTGGCTGCAAATTCTATACATAGTTTCACTTCGGTAGTAACTTGAATCAATGAGCTCTACAACCTCAATGACCGAGGAGTCATTATTTCCTTAATAATTAATACAATAGGAAATTAAAACAATCTCCATATTATTCACACACTTGAGAATACTAGGGAGTATCCTCAAGTCCGTTCATTGATCCAAGTCCTAAGAGTATAACTCACGAACTTTACTTCTCTTAAAGCCATAGCTACCTCCTTTCATACCTTCATCCTAACGGTACGTCATTCCAGCTCAGCATAGCCTTTAAATAGCTTGCACATGTGGATTCAATAATTGAGCCCGCGCAAAGTACTTGATCATGACCACGTATTAGCTTGCTACTCTATTTGACAGCCCGATGTACTAGTGCACTCCTGGACAGACGAAAATCTGTAAGGAGCCTGCCTATTGCCAAGCACAAAATAAACTTAGTAAAACTTGGAAGGGATAATACTCCATACCGTCCCAACAGATGATATTCTCCCTATCGTTACTCCTCAGTCTCTTTCGCTTGTAAAACTTACATGATCTAGAATATATTATCCGCATTGCAATCCCATGTGCATTTTTAATTTGAATTCGTTTCCGGTTGCCCAAAAAAGATATTAACAATTTGTACCCCAAAGGTGGACGTTGGGGTCCTAAACCAAAGTCTCGCTAGCCTAAACAGCTTACATCTTAGCCAGCAAGTTGTCGGAAAACTAGTCGCGCTTCATTTTTTTCTGTGTTATTTTCCATTAAAGAAGTGAAGAGTTATCGGGATACCAAATCGTGAGCACGCCGTCAAGTAAAGACTGAGACTATGTAGGGTGATTGTGTGCACCTTATTAGCTTGCCCGGTAATCCTCTATTGTGCGGATTCTGTAGCTGAAAAGACAAGCATAATCCCGTGGAGGACAGAGTTTGAACACCTATAGGAGATTTCTTCTGTGGATATATGAGTGAGACAGTCATCCAGAGCCATGATTCTGTTGTAATCTAACGCTCTTCATCCTCGGACTTCATGGTGAGCAGTAGTTGTATAGCACGTGATGCCATGCGGGGGAGAAGGAAGAGGATGGCGAAAGCCGCTAGCCAGATCTAAGCGATCTGGCCCACTCTTAGATGCAGAAATCCTTTTTGTATATAGACAATGCAACCCTAACAAGTAAAACAACAATAGTAAGGAACTCATACATCCGCACCTCAGTTATCTCATACATCGTGACCCATAAACCTCACTCTCATATCTATCACTCCACGACAAAGCTTCAACAGATTCAACCAATATCAGGGTATATCTGTGAGTTTTAATCGAGATTGTGGTCGGGAGGAGTGGCATTGTCAACGTATTTTGGTCAAATACCCGAGATGCAGAGATTTCACGGCTACAAATCTCGACAAAACGATAGCATCCCAGATACGAACCGCAGGCAGACACAAATCTGCCTGACTTTAGAGCTAAAATAGCTGATTACACTCACTATCTCTAATTTTTTGAGAAGATCTTTCCCATCTACATTCATCTCGTTAACCTCTCCAACACCATGGAGGACTATTCTCAACACCTGTCAGTGGTGTCCCCTACAAACCTCCAGCTCTCACTGCATAGTCTGCAGAGCCGAGGTTGAGTAACAAAGTCATCACTTCGACGAGGATTCCTAATCGTTTGCGCAGTCTGTATCGTCTTCATCCCGCACAACCCCTTATCACCAACATCATGAAGCTAACCACGATCAGATCAGATGGTAAGGTTGAAGCTCTTCTTATCACCAACTCTTGATTATGGAGGAGAAGCTATCTGATGAGTTTCCGGAGCGTACCCAGCACCCGATACGGAGATGATGGATTGGATCAAGATGACCTCCAATGTTATAAATAAGAGAGATATAGATGAATATGCGCACCTCACATAGTCCCAGTGTCTAGGCCTCACCTGTCTGGGGCTGCAGGGTGTGAGAGACTTTTTCCCGCGCACGCAGTTTCCATTGCTACCATTTTTATTTTTTTTGGGTAGAAGGTTCCGTGGAAAAGGTGGCCGAATTCCACGGGTAAACACTGAGCTTAATGGCTATTCATTAAGGGCAATATATCAATGATTCTTGAGTAACAGAAGAGACAAGGAGCACTGTACAAGGTGTGGACTAGGTCAGAGCGGATCCCAATGTGCTGCATATTTTATGAATCAAGTAACGCAATAAAAACTTCACTTCAAATCAAATCGCGTGTAGGTGCTATATCTCAATGGCCGATTGACTAGCCACGTGTGAATGCGGATTAGTAGGCATTCACTCGGAAAAATTCGTATTACCCGCAGGATCTGTCATGTATGACGACTATTTTCAACTGATTCCCTGAATTAATGTCTAAAATTAATTAATGACGTCGACCTCTGTGAAGTTTGAAAAATTATGATATATATAGGAAAGGCTTGATTTGGTAGGGTACTTCATAATTCGTTATATTCGTCCTTGAGGTAGTCTGTTGAAAAACTTCGCTATTTCTCACCGATTAATCGAGACTATTGGAAATCTCTAAGGTCAGTAGATCCTGTTGCAGTGGAGTCAGGATGTTTATCTCGGGCTTCGGATGTTTCAATTGCTTTTCTAACTTATCCCAGAGCTTGCATTGAAGACAATTCGAATACCACCTTCAAATACTAGTTGACGACAATGTCTCACACAACCGAAGGCCGCCAATCTCCACCACCAGAGGAGCAGCTCGGTAAACAAGGAACTACTGCACCCTCTAATGCCAAAGGCGTAGATCAAGGAGCTTCGAGCAAAAAGGATAGTGAGAAAACCTTACAAGTATGTTGGCCCCCAGTGGTAATTTTTTAGAGTAACGTCAAAATCTAATTTTGCTTAAATTAACTCTAGGAGCTCAAGTCTAACCCTCCGGATAGTTCTATGGACTCAAATGCAAAATCAGCAACTCACAAGCCAGGGACTAGGGATAAATGTGGTTCTTGTTGTTAGCCAAATACGTTAACGAATTCTATCAACTTATCATAGTACAAACCTGCTAAAAGATAGCGTGGAAGAGAGTTTCTTGACCGAAAGCCTAGGTATAAAGTTCAAGAAGTTGATGCTAAGCTGTTCACAAGCGAGGAATTGTAGTTGACAATATCTGTAGTTAAGGAACAGACTTGGTTCGATAAGCCGGGGCACGAGTGTCTTCAAGCTCTAGATTGCTTCATTTTTGAAATAATTGCTCATCAGATTCTCGACCCCTGTGGATCTTTTGTTGTGCATGAAGTAAAGTTTATAAAAGAAGTAGTTAATAAATGTTCTAGTCGTGTTCAAAGATTGTATGTGAATCTTTACTTTTATAGTGTCTTTGGATATCCAGCAGTGACACACTTTCATGTATTCTCAGTTCCAGTCCCCAATTTTCCTAGGGAACACCTAATTCTTCAATCGATTTTAGAAAGATTCCAAAACAATATTCTAGTTTAATTTCAATTGAGAACTGCCATGTACTTGGAACTATAGATTGGTGTTATGCTCAGCTATGTAGTATGGTAGATCTAGTAGCTGATCCATATGTAGTAATTATGGCAGTGTGGCAATTTTTTTTTAAATCATTTAATGTGTATTCAGCTATCTAGCTATGACACATGACCGGTGCTATGTATACATGTTGGATGACTCCTTTGACGTTAGAGACACTCATACTCTGGATTTCATTCGCAAATACCACTATGAGGTATGTTCGCTTACACAAACAGTCAACCCTCATCCGTAAGTACCCACCAAAGGGAATTTCGAAACCTTTGGTTATCCAAGCATGCCTTCGTCATCCATGCATACCAGCGCCACGAGAAAAGTGGTTGTGTTTTGCTGGATTTGAACCAGCGATCTACTGTCTCGAGTAGGATATGTATCCAAGCTATTCAGACTCTACTTGGCAGATCGGCCAAGACGATGTACCACCGCACCATCCAACCATGGCGGTGTTTATAGTGACGCCTGCACTCTCGCAGCCGAAGAATTGACACGCACAAAGCCCAATTTGTAAGAACCCCTTTCCAAAACTCAAAATTCCATGCCCGTCGAGATTGTATCCACCCTTCGCATCAGCTTGTGAGCCTGTTCTGATTCCTCTCGCGTCCATATCAAAAGACTGGCCCCCAGATTTGTGCGCCACGCTTTGCTTCATCCGTCGGGTATAAATATCAGCGTGGGCGTGTATTTGGTGACCGGCTGAGGCCAGAGAAGGTCGATGATTGGTGTGGTCATTGGGATGATGATGTACTAGGTCGTACTTGTAGACTTGATGAGGCTTGGATAAGATTCGGATTCGTTGGGAGTGAAAATTTGACTTAGTGGAGTAATTTGAATTATTGCCTTGTGGGCCAACTTGCTCGGCATTGCGAAATTTGACTGAACTTGGCTCCGGGATAATATTTCACTCCCAGGTCAGTAGAGGACACCGCGTACAGGTGTTCAGTCTTGCTCTCCGGACTACTCATTTAGTGAGTGCATTCACTGATACCACTCGAGACCTTGGTGCTCGGGACTTTCACCCTTCTCTCAACCGTTAATATCCACCAGAGGGGAAACGGGAAAAACCTTTGGCTACTCTAACATACATTTGCCATCTTGTATATGGCCGCCGCGCGAGATATGGCCTCACAGTCCTCCCTTTCCCGAGTGAGTTAGGTGTCCAGGCTACCCAGACTTTAATTCGGGGAGAAGACGACCAGGAGGCGGACCAAAACATCTTCCACCATTGCTTCTTTTCAAAGTGCCGGCTGCACCATCCGAAATCGTTTCTTTTGCGCCCGAAGATACTCAAAAGTCGAAAACACTCAAAAAAGTGTGCGTCCCAGCATGCCTATTTGTGACCTCTTGTCAAATATCTGATGGTTTGGAACTTACTGAATATGTTAATGAGAATCATTGAATATTGGGATGAGACATCTTCTCGGATTAACTTACTCGAGCTGTGATATCTCACCAGGGACATGGTCGTCAGGATGTTCAAAGCCCCAACTTAAGATCTTTTGATCTTCAATACATGTAATATATTTCATATGTAATTTTGGGAAATGAGGAGAAGATAATCTCACCCCGAAAAAGTTTCAGATGGGTATATAGCATCAATGCTGTAGAGGAGTTTAGGAGCAGAGATTTCATCAATACAAGTTTACTTAATATTTTTCATTTGATCCTCAGTGTTTAACACCTCTTCATTCTTTTGTCCCAGGTTCCAGCTACCTATCCTCCCTAACTCACTTGAGACGGTACTCAAGGATTTGAAATTGATTTCATTATCCTAACTTGGCGTCCTATGGGTCCATGCAGGTGTATATGAACTTGTCCTAAATTCAGACAAAATAAACAAATCTTTTCAGGGCATAGAGCCAAGAACACTTCCAATATGATTTCGAACTATGATTAGAAAAGAAGCTCTTCATAAATATTTGGACACACGCAAGTGAATGGTTGCACACAAAAGATATTAAAATAACAAACAACAATTGGGAATTAACAAGTAATTGAGTAAATTGTATGTGTTGGGGGAGTCTGGGGATGTAAATTTTGTAAATGATGTGTCATAGCTAGATAGCTGAATAAACCATGAATGAAAAAAAGTGTCTATGAACTATAATGTTTACACGGCAGGAAACCTTCATGGTGAAACCCCCCCAAACCTTTCTGCCTTTTATCTTTAGTTTTCACATATTTTCTTCAGGAACGTAGTTACACTATACTGCCATTCATATAAACCAACCGCATCATCTCCAACGTCTCCAAGCATAGCTTGACCTAGTCCTTTCCCTCCGCAGAATCTCGACCACATTTATCATCTGGAATTGTTCACACCAGCCATTATTTAGAATCCACTATGTAATTCTTTTGTGTTCCCTGACCTGTTTATCATGGTTTCGTATAACCGATTTTTGGCTTGTCTCCAAATCTCTCCTATTCCATTTGGACAATGAGGGCAGTACATAATCATATGCTATGGGTTCTATGATTGGTAGCCACATGGACAGCCTGGATTGAGTACTCTGGATACTTTTCATCTATTTTAATCCGAGTTGAGCCACATGTGCTCACTGCGAATTTGCGTTGCCAAACTACTTAGGGCCCTTGTCAGGTTACGATGTCGGAAAAATGATGTGTCTTTTAGACTCAGTTTTTGCTGTCCAGCTTTTCTACCTAGGAAAGATTTGAACCCTCTCCAAATTTTGGGATCTACAGTTGCTAGTTGCTGAAGCTTCCGAGTTCGTTTCGTTTCTTTCTGATTTATTTTTAATTTATAGTGTATTAAGCGTCAGTTCGTTTCTGTTTAGCCTAGGATTTTGCCCACTCTTGGTATGCTATGACTTTCCCCATATCTATTTGTTTCTTCTTGATTTGGTGTTCACTGCACATTTCCTTCCAGTGGGCAAGGTCTATATTCCTGTTAATTGTTCGTAGATCTTCTATCCATTTTCTGGGCAGCTTAATTTTTCTATAGGCGGACTTGATTGTCTTCTGGACAGGGAAGTCCTTTGAGCGACCTAAATATTGGAGTTTTTGTTGCTTCAAGAATATTTCAATGAGTAGGGAAGCCATTTCGAGCTCCAGCACTCTCGTGCCGGTAGGCTTGTTTACTTTAGTAACAATTTTTAGGAAATTTCTTTGTTTATTCCTGAGAGATCTAACTGTTATCTCTGGTATTTTTAGTACCCAAGAATTTATATTTCCAATGTATGTTTTGGTTTAGTTTGTTTATTAACGTGCCAGGCAGTTGGCACCATCCGCACTCCTATGGTAGATTGAGCACGAGTGGGGCCAGACTGTATCAGGTTAGCTACCATATAAGTACAATAAACCTCATCCCACCTGAATGATTGGACCACCTCAGAATTCACCCATGTGCTGAATATGTCAGTCCCAACCGTCTAGAGAAACTGGCTTTAACGCGCCGAAGAACAATTTCCTTCTCGACCTCGGACTCCATGCGACTGAGCCCTTGATACCACAATCTCTAGTTTTTCCTTTCTATTCAAAGCTAGTCATTACTCATCTCAGCATATCCTTATCTCATTCAGTCGCCCACCGAGGCCACCTCAGTTTCATTCAGTTCCACTATTGTAGCATCTCCTCAATATTTAGTTCTTATCGCAATTTTAGAAATCTTTTAGACTTTCCATCCCTAGACCTTGCTCCGTCGCTGCCTCACCTCTATCCGTGGAGGCCGCATATGAGCCGAAGAGCTCAAGACTGAGGCACCGATGCCTCAGCCTTTGTAGAATGCTCTAATAGATGAGCCGGCGAAATGTCGTGCGTATTTCGTCGGTGGCGATTCCTCGCAGCTCAAGTTGTTGGTGCCTTTGGCCGAGGTGTAGACGAATATAAGACCGGTACTTTGACCGAATGTACACAGCGCACGACAGTTGTGAAGAGATAAGTTTTCACACGAATCTTAGATGGCAAATATGACTTTTGGATTTTGGAGAACTTCGGTACTTGGTAAGATAATCATGGAAAGGGTTGCGAGTTGAGCTTAGTTGGGAGATTTTCCAGAAAAATTGGAGATATTGAATGTAGCCTATTATTTTAACATAAAATCAGAACGGTTTTATCCAACTTACGGTTAATATCTGGGGTGTAAATGATTGACTTGGTTGGGTTGTGCAGCCCTGAGATCTCTGCCAGTCGCATTTTCAGCCAAAAACTTGCTGCCACCACTCCTCCCGATCGCCAACTCGACGAAAACTCCCGAATCCACCCTGTGTCTTGACTGAATCTCGGCTCTGAGAAAATATTTCACATCCAGATTCGTATGAGACACCACTGACAAGTTTTAAGCCTTCGTGCTCCTTTACAATGTATGTAGATGCACATGAGATGTCGGTAACCCGTATGCCCTACGTAAGGATATAGAACTTCTGACCATGCAGGCTACAAAACCTCTCTATATAGAAACGATACACTAGTACCATACCCCCTCTTCAGCTCTTTCCTCGTTCCACAGTCCTGCCGACCCCATGGGCAAAACCAATAGCTAAGCTATCATCAGATTAAAAACGAACTTAATAGCATTTATCAGTGATTCGTAGGTTTAGATTTAGTTCGGATTTTAACTAGAATATGATATAAACTATCTGAGTAATCGACGTGCTACCATCATTGATCCATTGGCCCAGAAAGATACCTCTCAGTCATGGTGCTGCGACTGCGCCACGTTTACACTCTGACAAGGGAAGGAGCAATAAAAATCTCGCGCATGAGAATGAGTCGGATCCTACGTCATCGGAACATGCCATTTGCTATATCGAGTGGGCAATAAGGCCGTATATATTTAGTTCTCGTCATGACGCACATAGACTAAATCTATCCTTTACCAACTTCTACCTTTACAGACTACCTTTCAAAACTACTTGAATACTGCTAAAATTACCGAGTAAGTAAGTCTTGCTATAATGTCCGCAAATACCGTTATTGTCAAGAATATCAGCCCTCAGACTAGTAAAAAAGAGATTAACGACTTTTTTTCCTTCTGGTAATTTCCATTCAAGTCTTTGGCAAGGGTTGTGAAAATTATCCTAATCCATCCAGTGGCAAGATTGCGAGCCTTGAAATCTCAACAGTCGATCAAAGCCAACAAGCGACGGTCACATTTGAAAGAGAAACTGCAGCAGACACTGCATTACTGCTTGATAACACCCAGCTTGGCGCCAGCCAAGTCAAGGTTTTGAGTGCGGCCGGTACTAGAGATGCCGACCGAGTAGACCCATACAAGCAAAATGTCGGGATAGGCGGTAAAGAGATAACCCAGGAGGATAAGCCGTGCAGCCGTATTGTCGCTGAATATCTAGCCCATGGCTACGTTCTTGGCGACCAAACCCTTCATCGTGCCATTGATCTTGACAACAAACACGGCTTAACCAATAAATTTCTCTCGACCCTCCAAAAACTTGATAGCAAGTATCAGGCTACCGACAAAGCCAAATCAATGAACCAGTCTTATGGAGTTACACCTAAGGTGAACAACATTCTGACTGGAATCTCCACGTACTATGAGAAGGCTGCCGGTACGCCATCCGGTAAAAAAATTGTTAATTTTTACACGCAGACCTCTCGTCAAGTAGTTGATATTCACAACGAGGCCCGACGTCTAGCTGATTTAAAAAAACAAAATAACACAACTAATACTGAAAAAAGGAAGAGTGGTAAGTGCTATTTCATCCTCAAGAACTAGCTGCATAAATGTTGCCCTTTCTGCATGTTTAAACCGGTATCGATTACAAGGGGATCCTTGATATTTTTAGCAGTCTATCATGCCTTTATGGCTAACTAGCAATTGTTATTACACCTCCATGAAGTATTGCATGTGTTTTTTAAGAGTCTTTAACAAGTTACTTCAAATTTCCTGTAGTATAGGAATAAGGATTAAGGACACAAAAGCGAGCCTGCTAGATTTATCCTCCTTACTCACTGAGGATCTATCTGGAAATTCAAGGAATATAAAAGCCTAGTGGTTGATTTTCTAAATCATCAGTGCTCATGTCAACTATGGCTCAAATCCGGCCATATGCTTGTTGCCGGCAAATACATTCGAAAATTTTTCAACTGTGAACCCTGCACCAGTAATAATTACATTGTACTTCAATAGTAGCATAGTACTATTTAGGTGCATATTTTTAGATATTTACCAGGATTTTACTGACGAGACTTATGTTTGATGTTATTTAGCTTCTCCAACCTCTCCAACTCACACGCATACTGCCGTCCCTAAGTCTACACCATTAGAATCAGAAAAGCATAATTATGCCTAGAGAATGGTGAGGTAATAATATAAAAGACAGAATAATAGTCTTATATAAGACAGGGGTGCTCCAAGTATCATTATGACTCTCCAACTGATGAAAGCGGCTTATTTGTACTCGGAAGGTGGTAACTTTAAAAATTACAATTGACTTTTTGTGAATGTAAATATACGTCGAGAATCATATTCCACTTATATTTTAAATTATGATTGATTTTGGTTGTAAGGAGAAAAAATTACCTCTTTATCATCAATTACTACATATTTACCTATCTAGATGTTAAGTATGATAAGCTTCTAGAAAGTACTCGATGTCTCACTTTACTACTAGTTATTCGTTTTCGGCATAATTACACATTTAGGAGCGCGAAGTAAGGATTCAATTGAAGTACTTCCGGTTCAAAGGAGTTTATGTGGACGACAGTATATTAAACTAAAGGACAGCCAAAGTTTAATATTTGACACTCATTTCTTCCATAAATGTAAAGGTTATCAACCCTTAAAAAGCTAAGATTCAGTCATGATAGATAGTATGAGTAATTTCAACCATGGTAACCTGGCATTAGTTGCACTAGCTTGTATTCGGTTGAAATTCTGATCTTGAGAGGTTTCAAGGCTGCAATTATCAACAAAATCAAATGAAATGACCTCAAATACGAAGCGCAGATAAAATTAAATTTTCCTGATGAACATGCCAAAAAAACTAGTACCACTAATTGCCTTAACACTGCCAGATACTTTAAAAAAAATCTTACCAGATGTCATTCGAAAGTTGATTCATCTCGTTACCCTTTCCATTTTTTTCCCATCAGCCACCTAAGCTTTACGAGGGACCAATACTCAATACCTATCAGCGATGTACTCTACCAACCTCCAGCTTTTACTATAGAGCCTGCAGAGCTGAGATTGATTAAAAACTAGGTCCTCACTTCGATGAGGATTCCAAGTCGCTTTCGCTATCTGTATCTTCTTCGTCTCTCACCACAACCTCCTAGCACCATCATCGTGAAGCTAACCATGATCAGATTAGATCGTAGTATGACAGTATGCCACAACTCTATAATATATAGTTTAGTACGCTATGGTCTCCGTTCTATTGTATATCTTTTTTTCAGGTCATGTGGCTCAGCGGTTAAAGTATTCATTCCAGGCTGTCATACGTAGGGTCAAAACCCTACAAATCATCCACCCCTGATCATTGATGAGAAGCCATCCGGTAAGTTTACGAGGTATGCCTAGCTACTGGTAGGGAGACGGTGGATTAGATTATGTTGGCCTCTAATGCTACAAAGAAGGGTTATCTACTTTAAACTTGATATCGATCTTATATATTGGTCTGTTGTCAAGGACACGGAAATAGATTCATAAGATTGTTTTATGAAAGGCTAGGATTGATTCCGATATTATTAAGATGAAGACTTGTCCCAAGTATCAGAGGGCTATAACGTCTTTATCTATCTTCGGGTAAATCTCACATTATACATCCATGTTAGCCAAACAGGACCTAGCATATAGAACTTGATTCGTATCATCTCTTTGGAGTTGAGGTTTATTATGAATTTTGCTACCTGAATTTGGATTTGAATTTGAAATCTTTTACGTGACAGGAAGAACCTAACATCTATTTAGACGTGACACGGGTAGATGGGTTATGAAAGCTCATTGCTACCTACATGACCGACAGTGAAGCGAGAAGCGACAAAAAAAAGGTGCTCTGCGCCGCATCCCTATCTTCCAAATCCATCTCCTCTCGGACCAGAAACAATCTCAGCGTGGTCACCTCCCACCCTGTTCATTCTTCGGCAGACTGTAACATCGGCTTGTAGTTAAGAATTGAATGAGCTTCTGCCATCCATTCTCCCCTATCGTTTCACTGGCCCCAGGTGGAGCCATTTTCTCATAGCTTCTTGTTGGAAATATCGCGCAATATTCATTGAACGAAAGTAAAAGTTGAATAAAAGAGTTTCATGTTTGGATTACGGCTAGAAATGTGGGAAGTGTGCGCTACAAGTACAAGTGTACGCGACACGTAGCGTAAGCCACAGCATTAACGAGTGTGGCGCCATCTAGGCATAGAAAACCCCCCAATAACCTCCTTGCGCCCACGCCATATAGCCGTTGATACCTCCAATACTTAGCCTGAAGTTCTACTATACTATCCATTCCAACCTCTTAAATACACTCAAGATCGTGTCGGGAACCTAGATGAAATGGAGGGCCCGTACGTCCACAACACTCTGTGTCTCCATTTCAAACACTTCTCCAACGTAGCAAAGCTGGTCAGCACTCTGAAAAATGCCAGGGCCTTTTTTCTCGGCCGTAAAAGCATTTCAGATCTTCATGTTCGGGGTTGAAACGTCGATGGTAGTCGGCGTAGTCCCCATGGCCTGTCCTTGCCGCAATAAGACGATGGTACACCCATCTTGGTAGAGCCAGTTCCGGTGGTCTTTTGCAACGCATAAATAGGTCCAGATCTTTGTATCGCTTCGATCAATACTTTTGCCACCACCCTTCCGCGAGCTCTTGGCTGCGCAGTTTAACCCATCTCCCTAATGCTGCAAAGGTTAGATCTTGATCTTCTCCACTGGATACAGCTGAGGTTAGTGACCGGTTATTGTGAGCTCCCGAGGCTGATTTAGCCAGCTTATCGGTCTCTTCATTGCCTTGAATCCCCACATGACAGGGTATCCAGCGTATTTCTACACGCTTATTGCGTCTCAGTGACAAAATCTTGTCCACCACTAACTGCGAGCAGTTAGATCTTCCTCTTTTGAGAGCTTGAGTGGCCGCTTGGTTGTCCAGAAGAATGTAGATCGGTAAGTCTTCTCCTACCTCTATTGCGATCTTCAAGGCTTTTACGGCGCCTACAACTTCTGCGTCGAATACCTCTGCTCCGGGAAGTGGACCGGAACCACTTCCAACTAGCTTGCCTCCTTGGTATACTACATACCCCCAGGCTGATTTCCCGGGAGCCGATGATGATCCATCAGAGAAAGCGCAGATCATGTTAGCTGGACGGAAAGCTAACCATCGCTTTATGCTTCCAGACCTAGCTTCTTTTTCTCGACTGCATGGAGTCGATGCTGGGGTGCCACGTGGGAAGTAAAGCTTTCCAGGGCCTTCGGCTGTCGGAACTTGTCGCACACTTATTTGTAGGCGTGTCATGTACCGTTTTGGTTGTCTGAACAATCGATCTCTTTGTCCCGATCTAAGACCTAAGCGTCTTATTGTCTCTTTCGGGTCCTCAGCCGCCCGAAGGGCTAGAGAATGCTAGATATCCATTCTTCGCATACGAGCTGCGGACCGCAGCGTCTTTTGCTGAAGAATTTTCGATGCCGGGGGCATTACCGCTTCACGATAAAGAGCGATATTGGGAGTAGTACGCCACGCTGGGAGTGCTACTCGGATAGCTTTCACTATCTTTTTATCCATTAGAGATAGATGCCAGCCTACTCCAGTGCCGACTTCTTTATCTCGCAGTGTGGTTATTCGAGTGAGACCCGACCACCACGCTTCTGCCTCATATAGAGCCGTACTTAGAGCACATGCATGTACTGCACGAATCAGAGGTCAGGGTGGTGCACCGCGTTGAACTTCGTATATGTGTCGTAGGAAATGGACTAGACGATTAGCTTTTCCAGTCCATTCCTGTACATGCTGCTTGAAGTTCAGCTGGGTATCAAGCCAGACTCCTAGCCACCGGATATAAGGTGACGGTTCGATCCGGCGATCTTTCACCAAGATGGAAAGATCAGCCGCGTTGGTTTTCTTTCTAGGCCCTCCTCCGGTCACTAGAAGTTCTGACTTTGCTGGGTCAAAATCGATCCTGTGTTCTCTTGCGAGAAGGATAAGGCTGTCGAGGTCGTCTTGAGCTGCGGAGATAGCATCCGCCGCGGTGTCTCCAATTCTGACAATAGCTACATCGTCAGCATAACCAAACCTACTCGTTAGACCATGATCCTCAAAAAGCACAGCGATGTAGAGCATGAAAAGAAGTGGCGAAAGAAGCGAGCCCTGAGGTACTCCACATTCCAGAATCTTCTCTTATTTGATTCCACCGCGGTATTTAACCTGGACTTTTTGTTGGTAGAGAAATAACTGAATAAACCGGCACAGGGATCGTGGCCAGCCTTGTTCTCGAAGGCGTTTAAGCATTTGGTTGTGAAGGACTGCATCAAATGCACCTTTGTGAGGATTCTTGAGAAATGCCTCAAGCAGGATTTATGGGTTCTGTTGGAAATACAGTTTCCTGCTTTTCTTTCTATCGACCAATGTGGTTGCATGCATCTTGCCTAAACTATATTTCTGAGTTCGGGCAGGATCCCACACTTCTGATCCAATCGGACTCAACGTTAGAGTCTGCTTGAATCCCATTCTTCCCGAACAAATCCAGTCATTGGTTTGTTCGTACTTCTATTGCGTGACCCAGTATTCTCAGTCAGTGGATAACTATTTTCTGGTACGGGGTCCCACTCATTTCTGCAGTCGAGTCGGTTCCGGGTAACCTCTATTTCTTATAATTCCACTGTATATATCATAATACCTGTAGTCTATTAGTAAATTAAGCAAACTGAACTTCTTCTCCGTTCTCAGGCAATTCTTACTCCGAAGTCTTCTCTATACTCTAACAGGTTCCTTGTTTAATCCCACTAGTCTTTATTGCTTAGCGAGGGCACCTGTGTAGTTTCCATTTCCGAGACTAATATCTTCACGCTTTGTTTTCTGTCTTTAGGAATAGTTACATTATTCTAATCACATCTCACTCTCGTCCTCTGCCAAACATAGTGACCTACCGTCACCTCCGGCCCCTCTATCTAGAACGACTCCCCGCTTTCCCATTTACCACTTCTCTAGAAAGCCCTCCGCGTTCCCACGAGGCGTCCTTCCTCAGTACATCCTACGCTACGCCCTCTCCTACGCCTCGAGTCCTGCGCCTGACAACCTCGAATATCGAGTGTGACCATAGCCGCAAACTTTTCACTTCTCATGGCCGCCTCAGCATCATGAATT